TGATTAAATGCGCGACCTTGACACCCGCCGTAAGACGCAACCATCGAATATCCGCCGTGAGATCACAGCCTTACCCCATGCCTCATCTCGGTCCAGCGACATCATTCTCGTTGAGTCAACGCCCCCCCCCCTCCCCACCCCCGAGCCAAAGCATTTTTCCCAAAAGCCTTTGCTCGGTCCAGCGAGATTATTTTGCAGTCGACACTGCTTCAAGAAGTGTTGTATACCCGCCATATTCCGTAACCATGTGATATCCCCCCCCCCGCCATCCACCACCCGCTGCAAGAGACATGATCAGACTCCCCATCTGACCCGTCGTGACCACCGCGCTATCTAACGGCCCGATTCCGAAGTAATATCCAGGATCGGCTTTGTCTGTCTACTATCATGAAAAATGGTTATTGTATAATGACGTTCTGAGAAGGTATTTGTTTTATACAGAGCAGAGTGAAGTACCTGTGCAAGAAATGGAGACCCCCGACGAGATGGGGTCTGGCGAACGATACGATCCAAATGCTATTGTGGCTACTGTAACTGCAGTATAGCAAAGAAAAGCCTCAGGTATATTTGAATATATTGACGCCATTGACCCTAATAAAAGACTCAAGTGTAATGGGACATCATTAACTGGCGTTAATATTGTGGATCTGATACAAGATGTGGTCAGAGCACGGAAAACATATTCAGCTAAAGGATGGGAACATTTTGCGATATATCTTCAAAGTCTAAAACACACCTCGAGAGTTTCTGGGGAATCCTAAATTTCATCGACCCCCACCTGCACTACCAGATATTAAACTTCGAAAAGAATCTGAAATTTCGGAGGACGAGGACTTTATAGATGAGCGTCATACAGGGAAAGGTGATACACCACGCACCTCTCTTGTACATCGTACGCGTAAAAACTTGACAAAAGCTCACATAAACCCTCCTTATAAAGTGGAGGACTCAGAACTATCATCATGGCTTCCATTTTAAACGAAGAAAACTATCGGGGACATATTTTAGCCCTCCAGAGCAGGAAGCATATACGGGGGCTAGAAATATTTTGTCAAAGCATGAAAAAGAAATACCTGAAAATTGAATAAAAAACTGGCTTAATGCCCAGAATACTTATACACTCCACAGACCTATCAGACGTAAATTTCCATAGTTACATTATACAGTGACAAACATTAATGATGTATGGAAGGCTGATTTGTTTGAGTTGAGATCACTAAAGACATACAATGATGGTATTTCATATTTACTTGTGGTCATTGACGTTTTAAGCAAGT